GGGTGGGGGTGTAACACCCTGAGACAAAATTATGGATTTTCAGAATGGGAGGTGGGCATTTATTTTGGTTTCTTCAGTCTCTCTTAAACTATTTCATCGCATAAAAACCCACTAAAGGCTTCTTTTTTTCACATGCCGGTCATGTTAGTCATCACCATATCGTCTTAGGAATGAAGAAAAGATGTAACGCTAAATTTCTGTCCGTTAAATTTTGGGTATATGGAATATATTGTTTCGCTGGTGCATGGAGTGTGGATTTTCACGGATTTTTTAGCAAACTTGAATGCTACCTCAAGAAAAAATTCATTAAAATGTTTTATATTTGTTTAGGAAACTTTCATCCCAACAGATTGTAGATCTATTGTCTGTTAACACACATATAAAATATTAATATCTTTCCACGAAAAATAAATGCAGTATTCATTGCGTAAGACATGCCAAGAAAATCAAATAGGGCCACTGTCTCCATGGCAGCGAAAGTTTTTCCTCAAATTTGATTGCTCCACACTATGCTTGTTATGAGTGTGAAATTTGGTAAAATTCGATCCACTTATACGCGAAAACGCCTTCAGGTGTGTAGACCCCCCCCCCCCTCTTAAAAAGCAAAGGTATTATTGTTGATATTGGGGTACAGAGATATTTGCTAGTCACCTTGAATGCGAAGAAATGGTTGATGTAGAGGTCTCCGAAGACAAACTTAGAGCCGGCATCCGTGTAGGACAAGAACTCGGTGACCCTGTCTCCCAGCCACTTGAAGGCGTCGCGACCCCATGAGGTCCGGAGGATGAGGAGGGCGAAGATGATCTGAAGGGCGATACCCCAGAAAACGGGCCGCCACTTCACCTGATGGAACGGGGTTTTGGTGGAGAGTGGCCGGGGTGGGGGTGGGTTAGGGGGGTTGTGAGGGAGGGAGGGAATATAGGAGGTTGAGGTTTTTAAAAATGTTTTTTTTGGGTCTGTTACGAGTTAACTGGTATATGAGATGTGATGATAAGTCTTGAGTTCGATTCCAGTGACAATATGTTAAGGCTACATAGAGCTACACAGATTGTTTAGATCAGTAGAATGAAGAACACTGAAACTGGAATACCAGACAATCCATACAGTTTTCTAATGGTAGGCAAGAACAAAATACTGCGATAGGTTTCGAAGCATTATCTCACATTACTGTGATGACATTACTGAACATGTGCAAAATCGTATTAATATTACTTTGCATCAATTTTAGGTTAAGGTACAGCAACGTTGAAAAACAAACACGATATTTTCTGTTTCCTTCTCAAACTATACGACGCTGAATCTTCGTAGAGATATTTATGTTTTAGTCTTGATCTACAGACACTATGCCCGGTGGTGCTACCTTCGATGGGTTGAAAGAAAAGATGTAAAACGACAGTATGAAGAAGGTCATGCCACCCAAGCTGATCAGGTTCCTAGGACTGTCGATGCCGACGTCAACGATGATGTAAACGATAAAGAACAGGAAGAGGACCACTGGGAGGATCACAGCCAGCCTGAGGGGAGAACACACGACTTGGGTTGGGAGATATTATTTCTATGGATCAGCTACGGATGTCCCGTGGGCTATTTTAGAACATTCTATAAACAGATGCGGGCCTACAAAGAAAACAAACAGGAAGAAAACATCATCATCATCATCATCATCATCATCATCATCATCATCATCATCATCATCATCATCATCATCATCAGCAGCAGCAGCAGCAGCAGTAGCAACAACAGCAACGGCAGCAGCAGCAGCAGCAGCAGCAGCAGCAGCAGCAGCAGCAGCAGCAGCGGCGCCAACAGCAGCAACAATGATAGCATCATCAGCATCAGCACCAACACCAACACCAGCAGCACCTCCACAAGCTCCACAAGAACAACAATTTTAAAATACAAGAGCAGCAACAGTGGTAGTCGCAGCAACAGCAGCAGCAACAACGTAAGAAACAAATAAGATAAATTTCCTGCTATTCCTAAATCATCCCAGCTTCAGGTACATTGCCCATATCGGTTCTCTGATGCTAAGGACAGCTTATACCGGGTGCCCATTGCGGTCAGGTCGGGTCGGGTCGATCGCCCGACTCGTCGCCTGAAAACAAATGTGTTTCGTTTTTAATGTGACGAGTCGGGCGATCAGTTTATGCCACGATAGCCGCTTTGCGCCCTCAATCTGGTTAGCAAACGCGACCCGACCCGATCGTGGCACAGGGCGCCCGGTATTAGGGTTCTACTGCTGGACGAGAGCGTGAATCTATGCACACCCTTAATAATAAGATCTTAAGCCCTCATACATTTCGTTTTTTTAAAGAAAAACAGAAACAACTGAGGGTGTGGTGGTGGAGCGGTTAGTGCGCTCGTCTCCGAAGCGGAAAGTCCGGGTTCGAGCCTCGTTTCGGACACAGATCTTTTTCGCCCCCTCCTGCCCACCCAGCTGTAAAAGGAGTACCTTACTTTTAGTTGTGGAAGTAAAGGTGACGTGGAAAGGAACTGGCACCTCACCACAATAATTATTCCGAAGGCCCAGGAAGTTGTCTCATTAACAAGGTAATCCCCAAATTATGTCTGGATTGGATGCAGGAACAAATTTTTAGAAACAACATTTTCAACTAGAAGTACAACCATATTAGGTGAACAGAACGGTCAATGTTACCGGATTTTCTCCACGAATCTCCACAAACGGGGACAGCATTCCTCATCCTTCTCCTCTCCATCCGTGTATTTGTCCTCAGACTGCCGGCGGAACTGAAGGATATACTTTAGCGTCAGGCCTATTGAGATCAGAACTGTACAGACGAGAAGTCTCCATGAACCCTCGTCCCCAAATCTGAGGACATGGAGGATACAGTAAAAAGAGTTTTATGGCGATGTCCACTATATTATTATATAGCATGATATTTCTTCAGTTTTAGTTAGTGTTTTACGGCACTTGCAATACGATGAGGTCATATGAGTGCCGATGACATTTCTGAGACAAAGTTTTTGAATTGGGAAAACATGAAATGATGATTTCTACTAAAAGTGCGTACGCATAGAGCGAAACAGAAAAATGCTATATAACTGAAACTGAAGCCAGGATACGTACGAGTACAATGGAAACAACCTATCTCCTCCTCCCCCCTTTTCCGTTTTCCAATGACGAGGTGCTGTACATTTGGTCAAATAAGTATATATTTATGTAATATAAACTTACACATAGATAGATAGATAGATAGATAGATAGATAGATAGATAGATAGATAGATAGATA